GGACTGGCCCCCCCCCTAAATCCGCCCCTGAGTACTGTATTAGGGCGAATGTACTTGAATACATTCCCTGAGTAGCGAAAGAAAGAAAGAGTAGAGTATTCATAGAAATACCTCAAGATAGTTTAGTTTTTGTCATCGTTTGGAGATCGCAGAACATCAAACTTCGATCTTATCGTTATTCAATGAAAAACCAAATGTCTAATATTAAAGCAAAATTTGTTTTGCATTTAATTGATCTAATGTTTTTTAACATATCATTTCTATTATTATAATTTTTTCAGCTTTACATTGAAATCGAAAGGAAGTAAAACTAAAAATTGTGGCATTGCAGCATATTTTCATACCATAAAAAACACAAGGCAAAAAATAAGCATATTAAATATTCAATCTTTCGTCTGGACATTATTTTCCAATAATGTACCTTTGGGAAAGCTCAAACCTAATTTCTGGACTCATTATTCCTCAACTCCATTAATGGCGCTCAGTGTAGGGCCGAGGGGTAAGACATAGGCCTACCTCGCATCGGAAAGCAATTCGACGGAGTGGAAAATTTTCTGTCTTCAGATTGAGAGATCCTGTGTAGGCCTACTAAGGGGAGTTTTCGGAACTTCACCTGGTCCCATCGGCTTTCCAGTCGGGACGGGGATTGGATTGTATTTATTCGGTGTAAACACCAAGGATAGCCCACGAAAGTCTGGAAGAAGACTTATTTGGATAAAAGACAATAAAAATATTAGACAGTTGTTCATTACATACTTAAAGAATTTTCCCATTAACTCCATGGCCTATTGCCATCATTATCATTGACATCGTGTTCATTAATCACAATTTTATCCTCCTTTTTTTTCCACCTGGAAGTGTTGCTTTTACCATACGCCGTCATTTTTCATAAAGTAATTTTCAGTAACTGAACTGAACATTTTTTTTCTCGTTGATTTATTGTCGTTCTACGTACCTGTATTTCCTCTCAGAAATTTACTATAATTGTATTTTAAAATTTAATGTTTTTCGTTTCAATTATTTTTTAGTTGACTGCAGCTCATCAATTTTTTTTTCCGAGTTTATAACTGAAATGCTTATAATGGCAGTAATGGCGTTTCATAGTAATGGTAGTAACGGCGTTTCATAGTAATCCATACGTATTTTTAATCTCTTCCTGTTTGAAGAGTATGTGCGAGAAGGAAGTAGGCCTCTAGTTCATTGTTTACTAAATTTGTTAAATGTTACAAGGGCCATTGTTACTCTATAGGTTTGTGTTATGGGTATTGAATTACCAGCCAATTTTTCTGGCTGAGGAAATATTACTTTTTTCTAGCGCTAGGTCCTTTCATAGAGATATTAATTATTATTAGGCTAGGCTAGGCCTCCGATACATGTTATGTTTTTTAATGTGACTCACACGGCGGATATGAAGCTTCATCCTTGCTAAAAGGCCGTGCCCATGATTGTTAGCCTGTCAGGCATGGGCTTACGGTACTTCATTGGAAAAATCACTTCATTTTGATATATTGAAGCAGACCAAAGCAGCATTTGCATTTACAGCTCTACTAAATCACTTATTCTTAACTATCTCATAAAAAGAGCAAGGCTACGCTTATTTTTACCATTCTATTGTCTTTATTTCAACAGGACATTAATTACTACGTACAGTATAAACTGTATCAGGTCATACTAATTACCGTCAACAACAACCGTCAGCGACGTGTACAGTAATACTAATTACCGTCAACAAATGTTGTTGACGGTAATTAGTATGTGTGTACAATAATACTGTAGTACGTTACCGTCAACAACCGTCATACAATTAGTGTCAACAACCGTCAATATATTGTCTGCTAAAAGGGCCAACATTTCTAATGAAATTAATTAAATACTAATATTGATGATAAATATAATATTAATAATAATTATAGCGATAATAATATAGGCAAATGGATTAATGATAATATTGATAATGGAACTAATATTACTCATAATGATGATAAAAATAATAATAGGCCTAATAATAATAACAATAATAATAATGTAAAGAACCTAGTACGTCCTTCGAGAAGTGTAGGGGTTACCCCGGTGTACTGGTCCATTAAGTCCCCTGTTGTTAAATGGATATGCCAAGTAGGAGAGTGATTAAGTTCACGTATTGGCATATCCTTGGCGCTCGTGCCTAAGAAATGAAATGGAATTGTTTATCATGTCAAGTTAAATACTGGCAGTTTGTTAACTTTTACTTTATTATTCTTGAAGGTAATTAGAGTGTTGACAGTAATTAGTATACTACTTAGCGTAAAAAACTGTCAACCACAACCGTCAACACACGTTCTTGACGGTCGTAATTAGTATGACCAAATGTATCAGTCGTGATAGATTAGTAGCAGTATGGTTGGTTTGGTATAAATAATAATATGCAGGCATTAGGCTAGACAATTTTCATGAAATAGATACACATACCTAATTGAAAACTATTATTAACCTACTGTTACCTGCCAATCTAAAAATTGCTTGTGTCTTTAGGTGAAACAGCCTTCGCTCTAATTTCCTCATCGTTTGGATAGGATAATAATCTGTTGGCCTTGATTGTAGAATTCTTAATTTGAAACCAATAAAAATGTATACGTACTGCTTTGTTTCG